TTCCAAGGCAGAGCATCCTGCTACAACCACTCTCACAATAGAGAATTTCTTCCTAATATCTAGTATAAATCTGCCCTCTTTCAGTTTGAAGCCATTCCCCCTTGTCCTAACACTACATGCCCTTGTAAAAAGACCCTCTCCAGCTTTCTTGTAGGCCCCCCTTAGGTACTGGAAGGCCGTTAGAAGGTCTCCATGGAGCTTTCTCTTCTCCAGACTGAACAGGCCCAACTCTCTCAGCCTTTCCTAATAATGAGAGGTGCACCAGCCCTCTCATCATCTTTGTCACTCTCCTCTGCACTTGCCCCAATAGGTCAATGTCCTTCTTGTGCTGGGGACCCCAGAGCTGGATGCAGTACTCCAGGCAGGGTCTCATGAGAGTGGAGTAGAGGGGCAGAATCACCTCCCTTGGCCTGCTCGCTGCACTGCTTTTGATACAGGATACAATTGGCTTTCTGGGCTGCAAGCACACATTGCTGGGTCATGTGCAGCCTCTCATCCACCACTGTCCCCCCTCAGCAGGGACTACTCTCGATCCATTTGTCCCCCAGCCTGTATTGATACCAGGGAGTGTCTGGTGCACCTGGGCAGCCCAGGTGCAGCACCTTGAACTTGGCCTTGGTAAAATCTCAGGAGGTTCCCAGGGGCTCATTTCTCGAGCTTGTCCAGGTGATGATGAACAGATAGTACAGGAAACGTTTTCATTCCTGTTTGCAGTTGTCCCTCTTAAACTATGATGTCATTTTCAAATGGCAAGGAAATCAAACCTGTGGGAGGATTTATTAGCCTTTCCTAGCATAGTTCTAAGAATATCAGGGCTTCTAAATGAAAGGAAATGCTGATTCTGTGACTTAACAAATATGATTAATACTGATTGACAAATTGCAGCTTTGTTTCATGTGTATAAATATTTAGGATTTGAAATTGTATGGGCTGTACTTCTGGGAGAGCAGAAGAGGAACAACACAAAAAAGGGGGGAGTAAAGATTAGAACAAAGATCTTAAACTAGAACTGACTGTTTTCAGGCAAATAGGTATAAACCTGGTAGTATGTAAGATTGTGTTTTTAATAAGCTTTTGTTGAATGCTTTAAAGTAGCAGATACAGTCAAGAGGAAAAATTGAGACCAGTGGACAAAATGAGTAAGAAACACTTTTATATAGTTTCTTATGTTCTAACACTAACAGTATTTCATAGTTGCTGCTATCTGAAATTTCTTTGGTGTACTTAAATCATTTGTTCTTCATAATAGCAGAAATCTTTTTTTTTGGCATCAAACTGTTGCTGAGTCTGTAGAAGCATTTGAGCCTTTTTTGCTTGTATTTTCAGAAGGGCCATAGCTTACGTGAGAAGCTTGCAGAAATGGAAACCTTTAGAGATATCTTGTGTAGACAAGTTGATACTTTGCAGAAATATTTTGATGCCTGTGCAGATGCAGTTTCCAAAGATGAACTCCAGAGGGATAAAGGTAAAAATGTAATTGTAAATGCATATCTCCATGGAATTTAACTTTTTGCACATTAATAGCTCTTGAAATAGTTACTATGGCATTTGATACCATATAAATGAAATATGTATCTTAAATTTACTCTTTAGTAATGGGGTCAATCATAGATGTTTCTGCATAAACAGTGTTGTCTATTTTCACTTCAGAAGTTGGATTCCCATAAAAATCTGCTTAACTTAAATATTAACCTGTAGCTGTCAACTGTATAAATGTTCTTTTAAGCATTTTATGTTATAGATCAATAATTGTTTACCCCATAAGATGAATTCAAGTTAGTTTACCACTGTGTCTCTGTCATGATTTAACCCTAGCCAGCAACCAAGTACCATGCAACCGCTTGTTCACTTCCCCTCCCCCCTCCCAATGGGATGTGGAGGAGAATCAGGAAAGAAAAGAAAACAGAATTTGTGGATTGAGATAAGAACAGTTTATTTGAAACAAAGTAAAAGATAATAATATGTCCCACTCAAAGGGAGAGGGAGAGAGGGAAATAAAACCCAAGAAAGACAAGTGATGCACAATAAATTGCTCACCACCCGCTGACCGATGCCCAGCCCATTCCCAAGCCACAATCAGCCTCCACCTCCAGGTAACTGCCCCCAGTTTATATACTGAGCATGACGTTCTATGGTGTGCAATATCCCTTTGGCCAGTTTGGGTCAGCTGTCTGAGCTATGCTTCCTCCCAGCATTTTATGTACCTGCTCACTGGCAGAGCATGAGACACTGAAAAGTCCTTGACTTAGAGTAAGCACTACTTAGCAACAACCAAAACATCAGTGTGTGTTATCAATGTTATTCTCATACTGAATCCGAAAAACAGCACTGTAGCAGCTACTAAGAAGAAAATGTGCTCTATCCCAGCCAAAGCTAGGACAGTCTCTTATCTTTATTTTGATCAACAATAGGATATTAGGAACAATACATTTTTTTAAAAAGGCAAAGGTTCTGCAAAGTGAATACTCCTGAGATGTACTGGCTGTAGCTAGAGCACTGAGTGCACACCTGAAGTCCTAGTAGACTCAGGTGTGGATGTCTACATATCTCTGAATTGTTCTTCCCAGAGTACAGCTGCTTGTTGTATTCATGCACTCTCCTGAGGCATTTATATTAATTCCCATGTTTGTTCTGGCAGCCTGAAACTTTTGATAGTGAGAAAACGATAAGTACCATTCCACTTCTTTGAGAACTTTCTAGTGTAAAAGAGTAGATAGTTGCTCAATTGTGGCTCCCTGCTTATCCAGTTGTAACACCAAGATTATGTTCTTACCATCAAATCAAGTGCTAAGTTTTGACACTGAGCAAATGTTAGTCTTCTGATACTTTCTGATGATAATATTGATAGTGGTCAAAAATAAGAGGGGAGGGTGTGTGTCATGACTGTTATAGGAAAAAAATCTTAAATGCTGCTTAGCTATGAAGATACTCTTAATTCTTTCCTGCACACTAAAGAATTCAGAAAGCTTTCTCACTCCCGTAACACACACTTTCTAACATTTAGTGGTAGAAGATGATGAAGATGATTTCCCTGTGATGCGTTCTGATGGGGATTTTTTGCATAACAGTAACAGCAGTAAGGAAAAATGTGTGTCAACTTTTTCCATTGAAAATTCATATGAATGGTATGATAAGTCTGATACAAGATTATCTGAGTTATTCTTAATTGACACAAATATTAATGCAAGACTATCAAGCTGGAATTTCCTATTCAGTGTCCAAAGCCATTTCCACTACAAAATTCTGTTGAAACAGCTGCATCATTTGTATATTGGGAACTGAGATTTGTAACAAGCAGTTGCAGTTTTTCTTGCAAGTGTTAATGTGCTTCAGGAGTGTGGTAAAGCACTATGCTTTTCCAGTTAGGTGTGCCCTATTATGGTTTTTCTAAGTTCTATGGCTATGTAATGATTAAGTAAGCATTGTTACTGAATCTCACTCATCATACTTTTAGCACTTTTTAAAACTGTCTTTTTCAATGTTATGGTGAATGGAGTTCTGATTTTTATTCTTATCTTAAATGATCTGGTTATAGTCATTGTACTCACTGCATCCATTCAGTAAATGTGAACTCACACAAGTCTTGCTTATTGTGGAGGAATGGCTATGCAAAAAGGGACATGATTTCCTTGGAGCTGACAACCCAGCTTGTAGTACGGTGTAAGGCCTACAGCACGCTGTGACCGAGCCTTGAACCTACTGATAAGGAGCAAGCTCTGCTTGGCAGAGCTGGCTCTGACCGGCTCTGGGTCCCGTGTCAACAAGCTCCTTGGAATTCCTGAGAAAGTCCCGGAGCGTGGACAGACACCTGCTTGCACCAATCATAAGTTTGCCCTGGACACTTGGACAGGGGCAATAAACCAAGAGAGGCCTTGCAGAGAGACCTTGACAAATTAGAGGCTGGGCCAACCATTGACTAATCACCAGCCGAATCAAATTGAACAAGGGCAAGTGCTGGATTCTGCACCTGGGATGGGGCAACCCTTGGATATGCGTACAGACTGAGATGCTGGAAATTAGTGCTGCAGAAAGGGACTTGAGGGTCCTCATGGATGGCAAATTGAATATGAGTCAACAGTGTGCCCTGGCAGGCAGGAGAGCCAACCATGTCCTGGGGTGCATCAGGCTAGCCAGTTGAGGAAGGTGATTGTCCTACTCTACTCTGTGCTGGTGTGGCCTCACCTTGAATACTGTGTTCAGTTTTGGGCACCACAATACAAGAAAGATATTAATCTAGTAGAGTGCATCCAAAGAAGGCAATGAAGATGGTGAAAGGCCTTGAGGCGAAGCCATATGAGGAGCGACTGAGGTCACTCGGTCTGTTCAGCCTGGGGAAGAAGAGACTGAAGGGACACCTTATCGCTGTATACAACTTCCTTGTGAGGGGAAGCGGAGGTGCAGGCACTGACCTCTTCTCTCTGGAAACCAGTGACACGACTGAGGGAATGGCCTGAAGTTGTGTCAGGGGAGGCTTAGGTTAGATATTAGGAAAAGGTTCTTCACTCAGAGGCTGGTTGGGCACTGAACAGGCTCCCCAGGGAAGTGGTCACAGCACCAAGCCTGAGAGA